AAACATATGAAAAATAAATAAATTAATGATCCCACCAAAATCAAATAAAGGAAAAGAAGGAAATACTTACCTTAAAAGAGAAAAGGACAAAAAGAAATAATGCACAAGATTGAAAAGAGAAAACAAAGTTGGTTGGGAGAAGAAGACGGCTGGAGCGGCGAATAGCCAGTGGAGAGTGGGAAGAAAGAAATTGTGTTTTTTTAGGGTAATGACCCGCCACTTTCCCTTTTTCCTTCTTTAAACTTTTTGTTTTTTTTTTTTTTTTTCTTTTGTTTCTTTTTTTATTTAATTGGGGTGGTCATGGTCCCTCACATGGGCCAGGCCATGTGACATACCATGGGGTAACTCGTGGTTTCTACTGCACCATATATATATATATATATATAGTATATATATATATAATTAATATATATTATATATTTATATATATATATATGGTCATTTTTTTTGTTTTTTTTGTTTCTTTTTTTATTTAAATTGTGTGGTCATGGTCCCTCACATGGGCCAGGCCATGCGACAAACCATGGGTAACCCGTGGTTTCTACTGCACAATATTAATAATATTTTTTTTTGTCATTTTTTTTTGAAGCCACAATGTGTAAAGTGACACGGGGCACCCTGTGGTGAAGGCTGGACTTTGCAACCTTTTCATCCGTCAACATGGCCACGGCTGTGTAAAGTGACACAAAGTACCTTGTGTTCTATTTACTCAAAATTGTCTTCTTCTTCTATCACGTAGGCTTCCCAAACTTGTTCCTTGTTGCGACAATAACAACAAAAATAAAAAACACAATCAAACAAAATAAAATAATTGAGAAGAGAGAAAAAAAATTATAGTTCTAATTTAGAGTCGTTAGCTTGACTTTCTGCTCTTGCTTATTCTAGTTCATGCAGTGCCAAGGAGATCTTATCTTTTTCCATCTCCTCTCATAATGTTGAGTAATGCTTAGATGTTGTTCATTCACCTTGAACGTGCCTTTCTCCTCATGGGAAATCTCAATGGCGCCAGAAGGAAACACTTGGGTGGCCATGAAAGGTCTTGACCATCTGGACCTTAACTTACCTAGAATCTAGTCTAGAATATAGAGCAACACACCTTTACCCTTCGACGAACTCTTTTTTTGTGATATGCTTGTCATGCCATTTTTTTGTTCTCTCTTTATTTCTTCGCATTCTCATAAGCATGACATCGAAATTTATCCATCTCATTCATTGCAGCAACCTGTTTTCACTTACAGCTTGCATGTCAAAGTTAAGAAATTTTGTAGCCCCTTATGCATGATGCTCAAGTTCAACAGGGAGATGGCATGCTTTCCCAAAAACTAGTCTATATGGGGACATACCAATGGGGGTTTTAAAAGCTGTTCTATATGCCCACAATGTATCATCCAATCGCAAAGACCAATCTTTTCTAAAGGTAACGGTATTTTTTAAAATTCGTTTCAGTTCCCTATTAGATACCTCTACTTGGCCACTAGTTTGTGGGTGATAAGGAGTGGCAAACTTATGTGTGATCCCATATTTTTTCAAAAGATTATCAAACTGTTTATTGCAAAAATGTGTCCCACCATCACTAATAATTGCCCTAGGGGTGCCAAATCTAGTAAAAATATGTTTCCTTAAAAATTTAACAACCACCCTAGCATCATTTGTTTTAAATGCCTCAGCTTCCACCCACTTAGAAACATAGTCGACTACCACAAGGATGTATTTATTAGAAAATGAATTAGGAAAAGGTCTCATAAAGTCTATCCCCCAAACATCAAATAATTCACATTCAATAATATTGTTCAAGGGCATCTCATGTTTCCTAGCTATATTCCCTGTTCTTTGGCACCTATCACAAGATGCTACATAAGCATAAGCATCCTTAAACAATGTAGGCTAGTAAAAACCTGCTTGTAGTACCTTTGCAACTGTTTTGGTTGGCCCAAAGTGGCCACCTACCTCTCTGTCATGGCAATGATGTCAAATGGATGTCATCTCCTCCTCAAGCACACATCGTTGAATACTCTGGTCTGCACAAACTTTGAACAAATATGGTTCTTCCCACAAATAATGTTTAACATTAGACAAAAAGTTCTTTTGTTGTTGAAAAGTAAGATTTAAAGGAAGAACACCTGTGACAATATAATTTGCATACTGTGCATACCATGGAATATATGCATTTAAAATGGCAAATAATTGTTCATCAAGAAACTCCTCTCTTATTGGTATTTCATCTCCTTTTTTAGGATTTGTGTCCTCTATCCTAGACAGATGGTCAGCAACCACATTCTCTACACCCTTCTTATCCCTAATTTCTAGGTCAAATTCTTATAACAACAAAATCTGTCTAATTAACTTAGGTTTGGCATCTTTCTTAGCAAGTAAATATCTCAAGGCTGAATGGTCGGTGTAGACAATTACTTTACTTAAAACAAGGTATGAATGAAATTTGTCAAATGCAAATATTACTGCTAGGAGTTCCTTTTCAGAGGTTGCATAATTCTGTTGAGTCACATTTAAGGTCCGACTAGCATAGTATATAGTTTGGAATACCTTGTTTTTTCTTTGATCGAGGACAGCACCAATAGCTACATCACTAGCATCACACATCAGTTCAAATGGCAAACTCCAATCGGGTGCCACCATAATTGGTGTTGTGACAAGCTTCTCCTTCAAAGTGAGGAAGGCCTGCAGCATTAAAATCAAAAGGAGTATCTTTTATTAATAAATTAGACAGAGGTTTTGAAATTTTAGAAAAATCTTTAATAAATTGTCTGTAAAATCCTGCGTGTCCAAGGAAACTCCTCACGGCCTTCATTGATATATGTGGGGGTAATTTTTCAATCACTTCCACCTTTGCTCTATCCACTTCAATCCCCTTTTGGGAGATTTTATGACCCAAAACTATTCCTTCCTACACCATAAAATGACACTTCTCCCAATTTAAAACTAGGTTAGTGTCTTCATATCTCCGCAAAACTAATGCCAAATTATTCAAACATGCATCGAAAGAGGAACCAAAAACTGAAAAATCATCCATAAAATTTTCCAAAACTCTACCATATCATGAAAAATGGACATCATGCATCTTTGAAAAGTGGCAGGTGCATTGCATAAACCAAAAAGCATCCTCCTATATGCAAATGTCTCATAAGGACAAGTGAGAGTGGTTTTCTCTTGATCCTCTAGAGCTATAGCTATTTGGTTATACCCAGAGTACCCATCAAGAAAACAATAAAACTCATGCCCCGCAAGTCTCTCTAACATCTAATCAATAAAGGGTAAAGGGAAATGGTCTTTTCTAGTGGCATCATTTAATTTTCTATAATCTATGCACATTCTTCAACCTGTGACTGTCCTAGTATGTATCGATTCATTATTTTATGATTTACTCATGAGCAAAAGTTGTTTTTGGTGCACTTGAACGATGTGATACGTGCATTTTTAATGCTAATTATGCTTTTTTCGAGATCCTTACAAAGTTATATTTTTAAGTTTTTAATAAAAGTAACCATTTCAAATGTAAATTTTCCAAAAATCTCTTAGAAAATATATCTAAATATTAAAATTTCTTGCAAAATAATTAAAGTTGACTCTTTTTTAGGAAAAAGGTTGGTCTTTGATCTACCCTAACTTTAAGTATGTAAAGCGCCCCCTATAATTTGTTAATTATAACTTCCTCCTCTATGAGTATCCTAAATGTCCCTTAAATTTTGTTTAATTACTCTAACCTCCCCTAGCAAAGGGGTGGTTAGCAATAATTAGAGAAAACTTTAGAGGAGATGAGCCAAAATTTTCAAACTAAAGGGGTTTCTTATAATAACAAAAATCTCAGCGGTGATATTATGGGTGCGTTTGGTTCATTATTTTGGATAGGATTTTGGGAATAATTTTGGGTAGTTGGATAGAGGAGTATTACGAGATAAAATTTAAAAATTTATGAAAAAAACCCCAAGGTTTGCTAATTTAATTAAACACCCAAATATGTAAAATGACAAAAATACCCCCACCACCTACAGTGCCAGATTCCGGCCACCACTGCCGAAATCTGGCCGAAAAATTTTGTTACGACACAGACCGGTCGGATCTGTGTCGTAATGCATCACTATGGCCTTTTCCGACCAGATCCACCACGAATCTAGCCGGAAAAGGCCAGATCTACGCCCAAATATGGTCGTCGACGGCCGCAAAGGTCCATCTTTGGCGGTCAGTGACGGCCAAAGATATGGCCATCGTTTTCGGTCAACGATAGCCAACTTTTGGCCGTCGGTGATCCATTTCAGCGACGGCCAAATCCACTATGGATCTGGCCGGAAACGACCAAATTGGTGAATAACCTATCAGTTCCGGGCTTGGTTTAAGCCATTGTGATAGATTTCAGCTACCACCGATGATGGTTGCCAGAATCTGGCAAGTATGGATAGATGGGTGTGTTTTTGCTAATTTTTAAACTTTTTTCTAGGGGGTATTGAGTGAAATTAATAAACTTAAGGGGTCTAAAAGTAATTTAAAAAATTCACTAATATTTCTGGAATAATGTGTCAAACAATATTTGGGGAATATGATTTGGAATATGGGTAGAAATACTGAACCAAACGCACAATTAGCAACTTGGCCTTCGTTGACCATCAACGATGGTCATTTCTTTGGCCGTCGCTGACGGCTAGATCCATTGTGGATCTGACCGGAGAAGGTCAGATCGGTGAATAACCGATCAATTTCGGGCTTGGTTTAAGCTGTTGTGATAGATTCCAGCTGGTGGTTGTCGGAATCTGGCAAGTATGGATGGGTGGGGGTGTTTTTTGCTAATTTTTAAACTTTTTTTTGGAGGGTATTGAGTGAAATTAATAAACTTAAGGGGTTTAAAAGTAATTTAAAAAATTCACTAATATTTCTGAAATAATGTGCCAAACAATATTTGAGAAATATAATTGGGAATATGGGTAGAAATACTGAACCAAACGCACAATTAGCCCGTGAAAATCCTTAACTATGGATATTTCTAACAAACCCCAACGTTCTTCATTTTCTCACAAAAATCCATCTATTCTCTCCTATAAATCGATGATTTTAATGACACCTAACTAAAGTGGAAGCAGCCCATCAGCTTTAGAGCTTTCTGAAACTCTCTTTCAGATCCCAGACGAAACGCGGCGTTTCATTCATCACTTCACAACTCTTACCTCAATTTCACAATCTATCTAGTTTGTCTCTCTATCTCACCACCGGTAAGACACAGAAGAAACCGCAAATTACCCGCCATTAATAGACCAAAATGGTGCGTTTCGCCCCTCTTTCTCTGTTGATTTGCTGTTGCTTTATTGTATTGATTTTTTTATTCTTTGTAATTTTTTTCAGATAAATTAAAGAAAAAGAAGAATANTGTGTGTTTCACCAAAATTTTGATTAAACGCAGAATGAGATCACTCACACTTATGCTCACATATTATTGTTTTTCAATGTAATTTTTGTTTATTGGAGTTGATTTGAATAATTATTAATTTTAATTATATAATGGACAGAGAGTATTCAGTTAATCTCAAGTGGATTGATGAGACAATATTATAACTGATGAAGCTGGACATATGTTGGTGGTTTATGATGATCCTTCGGACCAACGATCATTGTCTTTAGATGATACATACAAAGTTATATTTTTAAGTTTTTAATAAAAGTAACCATTTCAAATGTAAATTTTCCAAAAATCTCTTAGAAAATATATCTAAATATTAAAATTTCTTGTAAAATAATTAAAGTTGACTCTTTTTTAGGAAAAAGGTTGGTCTCTGACCTACCCTAACTTTAAGTATATTGAAAAAGCACCCCCTATAATTTATTAATTATAACCTCCTGCTCTATGAGTATCTTAAATGTCCCTTAAATTTTGCTTAATTACCTAACCTCCCCTAGCAAGGGGGTGGTTAGCAATAATTAGAGAAAACTTTAGAGGAGATGAGGCAAAATTTTCAAACTAAAGGGGTTTCTTGTAATAACAAAAATCTCAGCGGTGATGTTATAATTAGCCCGTGAAAATCCTTAACTATGGATCTTTTAATAAACCTCAACGTTCTTCATTTTCTCACAAAAATCCATCTATTACCTCCTATAAATCGAAGATTTTAATGACACCAAACTAAAGTGGAAGCAGCCCATCAGCTTTAGAGCTTTCTGAAACTCTCTTTCAGATCCCTGACGAAACGCGGCGTTTCATTCATCACTTCACAACTCTTACCTCAATGTCACACTCTATCTAGCTTGTCTCTCTGTATCACCACCGGTAAGAAAGAGAAGGAACCGCAAATTACCCGCCATTAACAGATCAAAACGGTGCGTTTCGCCCCTCTTTCTCTGTTGATTTGCTGTTGCTTTATTGTATTGATTTTTTTATTCTTAATTTTTTTCAGATAAATTAAAGAAAAAGAAGAATATGCATCCTCCTTTGACGTTGCATAGACACCCCATGTGTGCTGAAGTGAGTTTTATTGCCTTTATTTTTATTTATTTTGTGGTTTTGGAAGTGCTTTTTCAGAAGTGCTTTTGATTGTTGATGTTTCTGGAAAAGCACCCAGTTAGGAAAGATTGGCTAAAAGGGTGCATCTGAAAGTGCTTTTCCTAATTTCAAAAAGAGTTTTTTTTTTTTTGGATTCTGTCTTTTTTGTAGTGTTTTGGCTGGTTTTAGACAGAAGCGCTTCTTGTTAGAGAATTTTCTGGTGTTTTTATATAAACTGTTTTGCTCCAAATGCTTTTGTATAATTACTTTGAAATAGATTTGGGAGTTCGTTTAGCAATTTCACCTTTTTTAATCTTAATAAAAAAGTGCTTCTGCGTTTAGTTGTTCAATAGTGTTTTCAATATAAGTGCTTCAAAATAAATTTTTGGAGTTGTTTTGGCAATTCCGTTTTGTTTTCTCTTTAAATAAAAAGGGCTTTTAGGTCTGTTGAAGTACTTTCAAATACATTTGGAGGTTCTTCTTGTGTAGAATTTGGTGTGCAATAGAGAAAAGCGCTTCTAGGTTTATGAACATTTAAGGTGTTTTTACTTGAGAGTGCTTTTTATAAAAGTACTCCGAAATGCATGACTTAAACGCCGCAAAATGGGTTAAAAACAGCACTTTTGAATGAAGTATTTCCAAATGCACACTAGATATAATTTATAACTAGAAGTTTATTTAATTCTGGTCTTCATTGAATATCAGATTATTGAGGAGTTTCAGAAATGTCATATAGACCATCCTATTGGGAAATTCTTTGGCGAATGTACAGAACTCAAAATAAAGCTTGACCGATGTTTTCCACAAGAAGTGAATTATATTGATTGTATAACACTTTTCTGTTTCTGTTTGAAGTCCATATATGTCTTGTGATAAAACCTTGAGTTTATTTCATAGAAAGCGGTGAAGCGCAAGGTGAACTTCGAGGAGAGTAAGAAATTGAGAGAAAGGCTTCAAGCATTGAGGAAGGAAAATGCTGAAGCAGAAGCTTAATATTGATTGTTACTGCATATCAGGTCACAGTTTATAATTATTGGTTTAGTAACCTGATAAATGACCAGTGGTTGATTGCATTAAGTTTACCAGAACTTTCATCTCAGAATGGTCAATGCTTAGTTTCAAGTAGGGCTTTTAGTTTTTTAGTTTTCAGAATCTCCTGAATAGCTTTACATATCCGAATTCAAAACCATTGTTTTCATAGAAATCTTTGTCACATTAAGAACCCAAATTCAAAACTAAAACCTCTGTCAATCCCTACAATCTTTGAGAAACAAGAAACCTGTCTGAGTTAAAAATGGGTCATTATAAATCTATCATTACTGAGTATTGAAAGTTTGAAACCAGATTTGCTGTAAGTTATCTGTTACTGCTAAAATGGCTCTAGAAATTGCTTTCCACAACCAGTATCTTCAATTACTGGTTTGATTGCAGGGAAATGCTATGTAATTGGTGTGGTAAAGTTACAGGATGAATACATATCCATGGATCAGTCCCTCAGACCATGATCTTAAGGACCGAATTTTGCATATTGTATATCATACTACTTGATTAGATGCAATTTGGCATATGATATGTTGCCAACTTTGATCACATAAATAAACCATCAGAAACTTCATTACAAAATTTTGAACAGCATATCTGAAAAAGATTTGCCATCCATAATCAGATCTAATCAAAAGATCTTTCTCAGTTTCTCATAGATCAAATTAGAAAACTTCATAGCCATAACAGAGCAATACGGTAATCAAATTAGAAAACCTAAGCATTTTTCTGTAGATTCCTCGCAAAAGGGTTCAGGTTCTACTTCGTCTGAAATTACTTGAGGAGCCTCATTTTGTAACCGTGCTTGCTCTGATGGTGTCTGAAGCAGCAGCAGACTATCCATTTACTCGGCAACTGTATACAAAAGATGCATGTTAAGGATCAATAACCCTTTTTACTAATGTCTATAGAGAAAGGTGACTTGGATATGATGCATCATTATATATTAGGATGAAAACTACGCAATGGAATAAGAAATAACACCATCAAAGGATATTCTCTCCTCCATCCCTTCTCATTTGCTCTATCAATGCGCTTTTGTAATGAAACCAGCTCCCTCGTAATCCACTATGTTTTCATGGAAAATGCCAAACGGGAAAAATTATATCAAAAGCAAGTGAAGGAAAAATATTGAAGTTCACATGATCTGGAAAATAAAAGATATTGAGGAGCATTTAAAAGTACAATGAAATGTAATCATTCAACAGAATTTAGAAAGCATATCAACACTAAAATGGAGCATCAAAAGTTACCAAAAAAAAACAGTGACTATATTAAGAAAGTTGACTAAAAGTTACACACATGTTTAGTTATATCCTCATGCAAGCTTCTCGCCTTACGGTCAAGTTCCACCTGCAGTTAACACATTCCAGTCAAGAGGCTGTATAAAATGCTTTACTTTTATGTTGATTTACTCACCACCTTATTATGAGACAACGTTGCACTTGATATGTAAGTTCTAAACAAAAATGCGATAGCCCTAAGAGACAATAGCTCCAAGAAAAAGTTAGCAGAACTAAATCTCATGATACACTACAAATATTTTATCAATGCACATTGGTGTGCTGCCAGAAATGATGCATATGAAGTTAATGATTGCAAATCAAATTGCCGAGAGTATGAAAAAACTTACAACAGTTGGCCTTTTCAAAAGGCCGTTTATCACTCTCTGCCGCAAATCCTCACACTCATCCTGCAAATAATAACACTTAATAACTATAATATTATTATGATTTTCGATAGTTTCGTATGGATTCAAAGAACTTCTCTTTTTTCTTCTATCTTTGTTTTCCTTTTTGGGGTGACAGATGACAAACTAGCTGTTTTATCAGTTAAAAAAGACTGAAACTTTTAATTGTGTTCCATAGTTTGTCTTATATGCGTTAAACTCTTTTGTTTGTACGTATCAAATCTTTCTGGAAAGGAATACAAACTAACGTTGTCTTTACCTCATGGAAGTCATCGTCTGACAACTTGGAAATGGATAACTCTTTCACCCTATTGGAAAGTTGAAGAAGAATTTCTGATTTCAAGCTTGATGGTCTCTTAATGTCTGTACTAATTTAAGATGATAATGTGCAGAATGTCAATCGACTAAGCCAAAAGACACTAGTACAATATAAAGTAGCATTCTGGGGTAAAAGAATTCAAATAAACTGATTATGAAGGAATCCAATAGTGGGATAAATTAGCTGAACTATTATAGTTGTTGCCAAGACATTACCTATAACTTGAACAAGCTGATGAGAATTTTTCTGCAAATAATCATTTGGGTCCGATTTCAATCTCACAAAACTTCCAATTACTTTAGCATCGAAAGTTTCTGGTTGCTTCGCAAGATCCTCCACTAAACTCCTCCTTAAGTAGACAAGCTTGATATTCTTAGGGACTACAGAAGCAAAACAGCTTTTCTGGACTTCTGCAGCTACTTCCTTGTGATCAGATTTTTTAAATGAGCTTAATTTTTCCATTCTTTTTTCCACCACTGAGTCACATTCATCAACAGTTTCCAAACTACTTTTAGATTCATCCTCCGAATGATCTATGTTCTCAGCAAGGTCGGCAGTCAGTCGGTTATATATACTGTTTCTATTCACTGACTTCCTTCCCAAGAGAGGCTGCAGCCTTGCATCACAAATGATAATTTTCTTTCTTTCCGGGTGAAAAAGCCGGTTTTCCTTGCAGTATTCGGTAATAATGGTTGTAATATCATACAGCGAGAGTTCACAGGTTGTATCTTTACCAATGGAATCAAGAAAGTCTAGTAGGGTTTTTGATCCCCACCCAATGAACTCCCTTTTCTTTGAACTCGCCTTTCTTTTCGTGGCAGATTGCTTTCTTTTTGATCTATTCCTCTTCCCAATTTTCTTGTCGTCTGCTGTGTCACCTAAATCATCATAATCAGATACAACGAGTTGACTTTCATCTACAAAATCTTCAATATCTTCTTCCCCTTCATCATATTCATATGAATCAGGAGACCTATGATTTCTCCCCTTCTTCAATAGATTATATGCCGAAATAACATGTTCTGTAGTTAAGCCTTCTTTTTCCTTTACTATCTGCCAATACCCATTAAAATAGAACTCTATTGTGTCTTTAGCATAGAAATCTATTTTTTCCTGCTGAAAAAGAAAACAAACGGAAAACACAAATAATAAGATTGGTTAACTTCTATAGGGCCAAGCCATGACTGGTCTCTTCTACACAAATTATTAATAAGAGTAAACTAAATTAACCCAAAGCCTAAATATTAAAAGATCACAATAAAACTAGAAAGCTTGGTCTGGAAGCAACATCACAATGTTAAAAGTACTTTCCACACGACTATTTACAAACTATCCATACCCCAATTGAGTTAACATCTTTCTTTTCTTCTATAAGCACCACAAGCTCTAAGCAATTTTCGCAGAATCCTTTACTCCCTCTAACTACTGCGAACCCAGAATCACAGAGGCAGTGTCCACATACAGCAGACGGGCAGCACAAGCAACAAAACTTAAAACTTCGGAGCTTTCTTGCATTCATAGCAAAAATTCCAACCTGAAATAAGAATTATCATTTCAAAAGCTAGCACCGAGACATACTACAAACTGATGCAAGAAAGAAAAGGTAAAAACAAATGAAGAAAGAGAAAATTCTATCAAAAAGTAAACTTGTCTGTTGTCCATAGTCTATTTCACGAGAGTAAGCACCAAACTGTTGATGTTAAAAGTACACTACATATTCAAATTCATATGGATGAAAGGGAAGGAATTCTTCTCCTAGCCAATAGTATTTTTCTTCCAAACCATGCAAGACTGTAATGTACATGTTGCTAGGAACATTAAGCGATGTATCTATAAACATCAGGCATTGTGCAGAAACATGAAATAGAGGAAAATAGAAAGTATGGCAGAAGAATTGGCAGTCCAGCACAATGCACATACGCAAAACTATGTTATTACATTTTGGTTTAAGAAAATCATAGATTAAAACTTTTAAGTATAGTGATTGCACCTTAATTTGTATGGCAGCTTCCCAAGAGCATGACAACACCAGCCATCGTGTAAAATATGATGATACAAATAAGGCCGAACAACTCCTTCCCCCAAAGTTTGCTTTAAAGACAATTCACCACCCAAAAGTTTCTAAATGACAATTCATTACCCAAAAAGTTTCAAAATGATTGTAAAGGCAAAAACACCCTATCCCTTTAAATCCAAAACTTAAAACTAGACCTGCCAGAAAAGGACAAGAGCAAAACACCCTATTGCCAACCTCGATAGATCGAAAAACAGAAGCCAAAACCCACACACCCAACCTGCCCACAGCAAACATTAGCCCACATCCAAAGCACCCTCCGATTGGACAAAAACACATTCACGATCTACTCCATTCAAGCAACAAAATCATAAACTCATCATCATCTCACAAAATTTAATAGTAAAATCATAAATTCATTTCAACACCATAGTCATAGACCCATAATCTATAGTAAATCATATTAGAAAAATAAAATCACACACCTATAAATTTATTATTAGAAAAGAAGATATGAGAGTAGTTTTGAAATAAAATGGGACTGAAGAAGAAGAAGAAGAAGAGGAAAAAGTTGTGAGTGTAGAATATACCATGTCAATCCGGCCAAACCTCGGAGGGTTTTAAAGAATTATTCCAAAAAGGAGAATAATTATAAATAGAGTAAACGACATATTCCCAACCAAGGTTTAACAAAATTCTAAGTTGGTACTCCAAATTCTATTTATTCCAATTCTCACCCTTAAAGTGACGAAAAATCGTTGGATATAATGGTTCAGGGGTAAATTGATCATTTTGCAGGAGGAGGCGCACATTAGTAGATCGCTGCCCCTAATAGTGCTCCATGCATGTTAGCCAACATCGCCCCCAATGTTTTTCACCATTTTCTGACCATTCTTCCATCCAAAATCAACTTGTTACCACCATTTGAACCTTCATCTTCCCCTCTACGAAATCTTACCCCTCACAACCCCTCATCACTCATTAATCGCCAACCACGACAGTCGTCGCATACGACTGGTTTTTATCAGTCTCCATTGGGGAATGACGACTAAATGGTTGTTGGGGATATGTGAGTTTTAGAGAGTTGGAGACGCTAGTTCCAATGGTGATGTCCAATTGGATTTTTGTCACTGGAATCCAGCGAAACCATAAGCCTTACTATGCCAACGATCAGAGGGGCCAATGAGTCAGGAACCAGAGGGGTTTGGGACGACGAACGATGGGAAAGGTGACAGAGGTGACTAGGGGGTTCAATGCCATTAGAAACAGCCCAGATCTGACAAAAACCGAGAGGGTGTGCAGTCACCGAGAGTGTAATGGAAGTAATTTGAAAATAAGATAGTTAATTTTATTTTCAAATTTACTCTTGTAAAGTGTTATTATAAGGGTGCGCAGTCACCGAGAGTGTAATGGAAGTAATTTGAAAATAAGATAGTTAATTTTATTTTCAAATTTACTCTTGTATAGGTTATTATAAGGGTGGGAATTGGAATAAATGAAACTTGGGGTATCAATAGGTTTTCGACAAACTTTGGGTGCGAATGTGTCGTTTACTCTTCTAAATATGAAAAAGAATCAAAATGATTGGACATATGACATTCAGTCTTGAGTAAGCATTAAATGGCGTCTGGCTTAAAGCATGAATTAGATGAAAATCTTCTTGAAATTATTCTCTATAGAAAAAATAAAAAATAAAAATCAGCCTCGCAAAGGGAAAATTACATTGAGATATTACGCTTTTCTAAATTGGATAGCGCCAATATAGCCTTAATAATTTAGTATTCGAATCGAATTATAGATACATAACTTTATGCCTTGACATTTTAAGAAATTACATTTACCCCCTATAGCTAATGACTTGATCTTGCATAATTAACGAAATATCGACGAAAAAATATTCAAGTAATTGCAATATAAATTTCCGAATATAAATATTTGAATGTACATTATTCATCTTTTTTTTTTTTAAATTTAAAATTGTAGTAATTTTAATTAAAAAATTGTAGATGCTTTGTTTTTCTTAAGCTTAAATTTGTCTCTAATTTTTGCCTTTTTTAAATATAATGAAAAGGGTAAAAAAATACTTTTGCAAATAATACAAGGTTAAAAAGGAAGCGGTTATAATTATGTAATATGCTGGATAACTTAATTATAATAAATAATTATATATAAAATTAATAAATATTGGAATTTTATAATTGACTATTCTTAGAGCATCTTCAAATGACTCTTTATATAACTCAAACTCTTTATTATAAAGAGTCTATCCACAAAAATAAGAGTCCGATATACTCTTTATCTTTAAAATATAAATTATTTAGAGAGTCAAATTTCACTCTCTATCCTAATTTTAATTAATAAACTACAAACTCCTATGCATTTTATTTATTAATTCTCTCTCCCATTAAGCCTCTTTCTTAAAAATAAAGAATATCTTCATTAAATTTAAAGAGTCTATTAGATTTGAATAAAAATTGTATTTTTTATATTTAAAAATTAACGAAGATGTCTTTTATTTATATGAAAGATGTTATTCAAAATAAAGAACACCACTGGAGATACACTTAATGGCTTCATTCATATCAATGAAAAAAAGATAAATATTGTGAAAGTTATATAGTCACAAATATGATAGGTAGCCATTAACATAAGATCTCTAGACAATCCACTCAAATGACTATAGTCTTATCATCCAACCACAATTCCTTTGATTCTAATTTTTTTTTTTTTTTTTTTGGTATTAATTAGTTTTATAAAATATACTATTAAAATATTAAATTACAATAAAGGTAAGAAATGACATAATCAACATTTTATTTTACCTAATCATATTGAAACTTCAATGAAAATAACTATTTGAAATATTTTCTCTTCTTTCCAGTATTTTTGTGGTCCATTTCCTAATATTCATCTTTTAAAGGCATCCTTTTTATTTGTCAGAGAGGGATAAACTGTTGTTCTTTAATTACCTCCATTATTCCTATTGAAAAGAAATTTATCAAGTGTCAATCTTAATATATGAAGCAATTCAATGTAAAATGTGAGTGTAAAGTCATATAACTTCACCTTTTTTTTTTTTTTTTGTTTTTTTAAATGACCAAGGATGTTTGGACCAGTTTGTGTGCACCTCAACTAATCCTCCGAGACCCTAAAACTACCGACTAGATAATAGCTCCAGTGACAACTCTTATTAAGGGTTGTGTGGGTTCAAACTTAGGAGACCATATTAGATCCTCCTCTATCAAGGGAATTTGAATTTAAGGGACCATATTGGATCGTCGTTTACTCTTTTACCATCAAGTCATCCAGTGGTGGTTGAACTAACACAATTACATGCATAACTTAACGTAAAATTCATTATTTTATTTCAATCAAATAATTTGTGGTATATAAAATCAACCCAAAACTCATATATAAACTTACTTTACTGTTAAATCAAAACAATTTCTTGTTGGAATTATGCATAAAATTGACATAAACATAGGAATTTTTATTGGCACATTCATAAGAGTTACCAATTCCATATCCATTTATCTTAATTGTTGTTAATAATAATTATAAAAAATTTTATTGGGCCAGAAAGGCCAATGGAATGGGGTAGGTTAAAGAATGAAAACCCATTAAGAGTGGTGAATTTAGAGTTATTTGGGAAAATGTCCAAGAAGCCTGAGTGCATCTTAAATAGGCCCATAATAATATATAAATATACGTTTATATATTAGTTAAATTTGATATTTTTGATACAATATTTTAAGTGATAAAATTTTACATGATAGTGATAAAGTGTTATTTTATTATATATTTTATAAAAATCATCATACTGATAATATTGTCATTATCACAATAATATAATATTGATAAAACTTAATCAATTGATAAACGAATTATTAACTTAATAAATATTATTTCCAAATAATTTATCAATATTTTTGTAATAATCAATAATCACCTATATAGATAGTGAAATTATTTGAAATAAAAAATTTATGATAAGATTGAGGATGTGTACAAAGAAACTTGAAGGAATCATCTTTTTGTACAAAATGAAACTTCAAGGAATGAACTTCTAATGAAAAATTTTGAAGTCTTTAATCTTTATTTTGTTTGTTGAAACCCTATATTTGTTATATAGGGTTTCAACAATGGTCTATGCCACCACCGGAAATGGCCAGTAATTCACCGATCTGGCCTTGTCGGAAAAAGCCAAATCTGACGTGAAAATGCCAGATTTGAGAGGAAAGTGACGACCAAAGAAATGGTCGTCGTTGACTGTCAACGATGGCCACATCGAGTGTTACGTCTGTCGTCGACCAGATCTGGCCGTAGATTTGGCCTTTTTTGGCCAGATCTGTTGTGGATTTGGCTGAAAAAGATCATATCAACTCTTTATCCGCCAAATCCAACCAATCTATAGTGTAACGCAATTTTTGGCCAGATTCTGGCAGTGGTGGCCGGAATCTGGCACTGCGGGTGGTGGGGTATTTTTGTTATTTTACAAAATTTTTATATATT